TTACCTCGATAAGCCTTCCCGAAGCCCCATTTTTTCATACTCGAGTCCTGAAGGAAGTCCTACACTCCCGAGATCCCAAAAAATCCCGAGATTTTAACTCTCTCTAGTCGAAGTTCTGCTCGATTCTTCTCTCGACTACTTCAAAACAACCACTTCAATCATGTGAGTTCATACCCCTTAATTAAGCTTTGAAATGTATTTAAATTATTTTAAATGCTTTATGGGGGGGGGGGGGAATACAGGTTGAACCATGTTAGTTATTAGATCAATCACATGTGATTAATAACTAGTATAGAAATGGATTTACTACACTTTTAGCTGTTTTACCAAACATATTACTTCAAATGACTTTCTCAAACGTTTTTACAAGTTAAAACTCTTTATCAAACTGTCTTACATACTGTATGTTTCCTTTCAAACTCTGTTACAATTGTGTTTCAAACAAAGGATTTCTTATACTTTAAACTGTTCTAATCAAACAAACTACTTCCAAATCGTTATATAAACTGACATCAAGTCATCATTTCTTCGTTATTAAACTTTTCAAAGGTATTACAAAACTTATTTTATACTTTTATATTGTCAAATGCATGCCCATATATGTATAGTTATATAAGTAATGTTTAAAGGACTTAGGACGGCTAGCTCGCTTTATTTCCTTTTCCTCGTTGGGATGTGGCCTTAAGGTATCGGTTAATCGTCCGAATGTCATCTAAATATTAGTGTTATATACCATGTATACATATATGGACATAAAAGTTCCATCAGTTAGTTCAGTACCTTTGGGTAGCAAAGGCATACTTTCGGTTATACACGTACATTACTAGTAACTATAATAGGTATATTTAGGAGATACTACTTACTATTCCAAGTACAAGGAATCACACAAGAGTTAGTTCATTCATGAGTCTATACTAATACAATACATACTATATGAAGAGATACAATTACAGAAATACAATTACAATACACGATAACATAAGAGAACACACAATAAAGAGAACCAGGGAGGAAGATACTATACATAATAACAGAACAAACATAATAAGGGGCTATAGCATGGAACAAGTACAGGATTGGAACAAGTACAGGATCTAACTATACCAATGAATCACTAACGCATTGTTTTAAACAAAAGGTGATAGTTATATTGGGTATACATGATCATATAATCGTAATGTGGATGTTCACGGCTTGCAATCATTGCAGGGGTCGCGTTTGGTTCCCAGAATCTCTTGACAGGGGAGCGTTTAGTATGGGATCTAGTCATCACATTATACCTTAATACTCAATTAAGGCAATTAGTACAATAGTAGTCACTTAATACAATACTACAATACTACATTAATTTACCCCTTTACATTTATTTGGTGATTACTTCACTTAAACATTAATGTAGAAACTATATTTTGATAATGATAGTTACACTTGGGAAATATACACACTTTTACAAGAAACAAACATACAAAACAGTCGAGTCTTGGTAGAAGTCTACTTTCAAAACAGTCGGGTCTTGGTAGAAGACTACCTTTTATACTAGTAGGAAATATGGGATTTTCTAGGGTTTTCAAACGTTTACATTACTACAAACATTCTCATACTTATACAAAATTTTCTCCAAACATTTACAAGTCTTTCTTTACAATTTTACAAATCGAAGACACATTAATACTTATGAATTCACCAGCTTTATTGCTGATACTCGCTTTCAAAATAACTTGTATTCTCAGGTCACAAATAGACAGGTACAACGACCAGGTTTTGTGAAGACGGAGCAGTCTAGACTCGTCTTTTATTTTGAACATTCATTATGTTGTTTTATACTATGAAAGAAAACACATGTATTTAAAATTATACTATTAATGGAATGGATGATGTTGTTGCTTGTTTACTACTTTGCATTGTTGTGATGCATTACATAACGTCCTCCGCCCCAGAACATTTCCGCCGTTATCGGTTTTGGGGCGTGACACATTAAGAGGGAAAAAGGACTAAAACTGGATTTGACTAAATTAATTAAACAACTGTCAAGGACAATTTAAGGTTTGCCAATGACTGGTCACTTGTGGGCAGATGGAAGTATAGTAACGAATGGGCCATAATGACATTATTATAATTAGATATGATTCTATTAATAACAAGTTGTCGTATGAAAAAATGGAAATGTTTCCATATTGGGACTTGGATATCGAGAATCTATGTCTAGATTAGAAACTTTTATGCAAGAAGGATGTTCAAAGGGATGTACTTTGAATGTGAGACTTCATATCGATGGAATTGCCTTGTAGCAATCTCCAATATAGCACCTTGTAATATCATTGGCAAATTCTTGGTGACTTTGATGCTGTGACATTACGAAGGGATCGTTTCATGAAATGTTAGAATCTAACATATTCTAGTAGTGGCAAGAATCTTGTATTCTTACACTAATTACAAGGATTAGGAGTTGTGAAATGAGCATCATTGGAAATGTTTTCAATTGATCTATTTCACAAAGTATGGACCATAGGAAAATAGAGTGTGCATGCTTGGACCATGCGACAACTGTTGTTATAGTTCAAGTGATAAGTTGATTATCCAAAACATTTTACATTGAATAATGAGTAATCAATATGGTGATTAAATAAATGTGTTTTATTTATACTCAAAAGTTTGGGGCCATTGTGGATTCGATTATTCTTGTGTTTCACTTTGCATGTTTTGACTTCCCGAATAATAAGATTATTCAAACCATCCACAGTCGATAATACTTTGGAAGTAGGTATTGAAGCTAGACTGTCATGAATCCGACTGTAGATTTTGTGAAGCGTTTTAGACATAGCAAATGTATGTTGCTGTGTTCATGAGTACTCCTGAAATAAGATTTGAGTAATGGATTAAACCCACACTCACATGAATCACTTCTTGGATTTATCACGGGTGATTAGTGAGATGATAATATCTTATATTCTTGAAATAGAGACGTGTGAGTTATAATTTACTAGTCGGTTTCACATTGATAATATGTAAACGCATCAGTAACTTGGTGTTATAAAACATATTGTTGTGTGTGATTTTATGAGTAGGTACAAGCGAGCATTTGAGTCGAAATTTATCCGTTCCTTTTACCTAAATTGGGATAAAGCAATATCTGTGGGCCCCTTGATGATTTAGTGATGACACCCTAAGCGCTTGGCCAATCCGGGACTAAGTTGATGTGTTCAATTGTAGTATGTTGTCAGTCGTCATAAATTGGAAATCGGGAAATAACACATGAACAGAGAGTATGATTAAAATCCATGTCTTAGTTCATACAATATATAGAATGGATTAATATATGATCCCTTATCTAAAGGATGCGTTACTGATAAGATCAGAGTTGACAACGACTTTTGAAAGCTACAATTGCTGATCAGGTTCTGAAGTCATATGCAAAAGAGTTATTAGACTTATGCAAGTGAGAGACTGTTGGATTAGGTGTCTAAGCGCATAACTATTTTGGTATGTACTTGACCCGATTTTGAGCATGGTCCCTTTGGGTTGCCTTCACCATAGCACCTTGATAGGATGACAAGAGGATAGAGAGTAGACTTTATTATATGAATAATAAATTGGTACTCGAAAATGGTTTTATTAATATATTACAAGTTTAATATATTATTTGTAAATCATATTATTTAATTGGTATTGATCAGAAATTAATTTGGTATTAATTTGATGATCAAAAGAGACTGATTAAATAATAGGGACTGATATTGCAATTAACTGTTCGTTGGTAGTTAGGCTGATGGACTCCATAGAGTGGAGTGGATGAAATTTATGGGGAAGCCCATGAGATTTCGTCTATGGGCTCTAAGGAAGGAGTTCATGGGCTTCTTAAGGATTAAGCAGTCATATTAGGGTTTTCACCTGAAAACCCTAGCAGCCACAAGTATAAATAGACCCCCTAACATAAGCATTTCGGCCCTATGCTTCCTGGTGTTGCCCTAGCCGATTTCCTGCCCTCTCTTAAGTCATCTTGTTACTAGTTGTATTTGTGACTCCATTAGAGGTGCAACATTTGAGGCACTAAGCTTTCGAAGGTTAAGGATATTCAAGGAGATCTTGTTATTACTACATAGCAAGAAAGGTAAGATGTAAACCCTAGTTTATATGTCACTTTGATTGTTATATGCTAGTTCATAGGATCATTGCTTTGGTATTCAATGTTGTTGTGTTCATAGTAGAAAAATCTTAATCAAAGCAATTAGGGGTGCATGAACACCACATGAATGATGTTATGCTCATATCCCATCAGTTAGAACTTATGAGAATCTAGATTGTTGTGTGTCATGTATTCACTATGAATAAAAAGGGTGCAGTCCTAAGTGACACCCTGATATTTGAATATTTTGAATGAATAATATAATAATGTGAAATTCAATCATCATGACATTTCATTTATGCATTAGTTTGTTGTTATTGTTAAGTTTTGTTTTAAGTTAATCAAGATTACACTTAAATGGGGGAGGTTTGTTGGTGATTTGTTTCACTAATTGTATATAAGTGTAATGGGTTGACTTGTTGACCAAAATCAATCTTGATTAATATTAAACAAGCAAGGAAGGTGCGGAGTGCACAATTGTTTAAGTTTATTCAAGATTAAAAGTAGACTGTCATTTAGGAGAGAATCCCCTGAACGAACGTGGGTCCGGGGGAAGCGTCCCTATGAGCCAGGTCCAAGGGGCAGAGCCCCTGGATGGCCGGGGTCCAAATTTTATATGTTTGACCCGTTTTCCATTTTCATTAATCCTTATATAAAACCCGAATTTATGATAGTCTCGTCTATTGAAAAAACACTTTATGACAATGAAATCATAATTCTCAGCATATGCAAGTGCCTTTATTACCCCGAAATTCTAGCAGTTTCGACTTTTTGATGCATAGCCTCAAAGAAACTCCAAGATTTAGATGTTGCGCATAAGATAAAGAAAAGAAAGCACAATTAGGATGAAGGTGAGTCTAAGAAATAATAGTGGAGAATGACAACGATAGCGATGGGGTCAGATATTGAAATTGTGGATTCATATAACGTATCACGAATAAAGGATACCCCTGTCAAATTGGCTTTTGAGGAGACATGGGTTCCTGATATCACTACAAGCGTATATGATACGTGTACAAATATCGATTCTGGTGTACAACAGCCCTCAACCATCCCTGATAAGGAAAAAGCCATAGCATCCGGTGTTTTGCATATTGATTCCACTATGGAGGAGGTTGAAAGTTGAGGCATCACTATGTACTTATTTGATAACGACACAAATATCAACATGGATGAAGGGATGCGTTCAATCAAAAGAAAGACAACAATAATCGAAACATCCACTGTTCTACCACCACCAACATCACCAATTCCAACATTTGTTACTTCTTCAATTCATGTTACAGTAGTTTCACATCCTTTACTGATGTTATGTAAGAACTAATCGTAACTATTTTCTCATCTCAATCAACCGAGGCTGAGAAACCGATTCATGAAGACAAAGCTGATAATGATAATGTGATGGTTTATAATTTGATATTGAAGAAGAAGATACACCAGATGAATTAATCATGCTAGGTATGCAATTCAAGATTTTAAACTCCAAAACGAATTTGATTCTTCAATTTTTGGCTAATACTAGAAGTAAGAGCTCGGTTAGTGGGATTGAAGTTGAATATCTTTTTAAATCACAGGATTCTCAATTGAAGACTTTTATTAAAGATGTAGATAACAAAACTAATGATCGAATAATCACTGAATCTCATACTTTAAACAATGTGAATTCTAAGTTCTGTGATGTATAGAATGAACGTCATGAAATTTTTTAGAAAAAACTTATAGAAATGAAAGTTTTTCTAGAGAATCAGCTGAAGGAAATTCAAACGTTAATAGCTACAGAGGTGAAGAACTTTGATGAAAATTCCTTTTTGTTGCATAAGAAGATTGATGTTGTCGCAAATGCAACTACAAGGTTGAAGAATTATTCGCATGATCTTCGATTCAAGACAGAGAAGGATGATAATATTTTTTGTCAAGGTTGAAGGATTATTGTCTGATATTAAAGAGATGTTATCGAAGGTTGATCTTTCGACTCAATCTTCACTTTCTCAAGAATTAATTTCTAAGATGGTTTCGGACACTGAGTCTAGTATAAAGGCAAAGTAGGATCTGATCCGGAATTTGGTTCTTAGACTTCCAACAAATGCTCCTCGTACCATGTACGTTTATCAAGGGGGAGATAGATGAGTTGGTTCATCTAAAGTTTCTAGTAAATACAAAGGAGTTATTATAGGTAAAATCATGCATACTCAAATTCCAACAACCATCTCAATGAAGCCTATCACCCCATATTCATCAATAACTTCATTAATAAGGATTGTTGCTCAGACAAGAGCTCAAATGAAAGAGTCTTAATTAATGAAGGAGCACGAGGATAAAGTTTGACCCTTTTCAAATCATCATCAAATGTTGATTCCAAATACAAAGGATCCACCAGGCTTGAAGAGAAGAAGAGGTTTCAAGCTATTGAGTTAGAGAAACAGAGACAAATAAACTACATTTTGAGACAAAGAGCCAATGATCCACCAGGCTTGAACAATGGTGATCCCAACAAGCAATGGTGCTATGAAATTATCGAAATTGATGTGCTTGGTAAAAATGATGAATTCCTGAAGAAGAAAAAAAAAAGGCAAAGAAGATTTATGACATTGAGAATTTAGATTTTAATCAACTTGATTTTCCAATCAATCATTTAAATGGATGAAAATTTCAATGATAAAGACGAATACAAAATACTGAAGATTCACTTTCGTGCGGTATTAGGAAAGAGTAAGGAAGAGGTCTAGTCATTAGTGAAGATTGTGAAATAAATGATGATTGTGCATGATACTTTGTTTGAAGGACTACTGAAACATTTTCGTTATGTTGTCGTGAGGGAAAATAACGTGGTGCTCGAGTTTACAATGATATATTTTCCTTTGATGAACTTAAACAATCTCATCATGGTTACAAATATGTTAAGCAATATTGATGTGTCAAAATTTACAGAGACAAACAAGGATGTTTTCATTCTTGGGTTTGGTCACATTAAGGCATATCTTGTTAGTTATTGTTGATGGGTTTTAGCCATAAGAACATCCTATGTGCTCATGCAAACCCTAATGCTTGGATCTAGGTTTCTCTATTGTACATGCAATTTATTCAAGACTTTAAACCCTAGATCTATCATACTATTAATCATATTAACATAAGAATGGGGTTTAGATCTTACCTTGATTGTTATGTAGTAATAACAATCTCAAATCCTCCTTGTAATGACTTTAGAAAGCTTAGAGTCACAAATGTCACTCCTCTAATGGTTCACAAACACCAAGAGCAAGAGGATGAAGAATAAGGAGAGGGGAGGCTGCCCAAAATGTGTAGAAACCCTAAGGAATAAGTTCACCACGTTTTTGAGTCTCAAGGGTCCTTTAAATAGTGAGGCTATTAGGGTTATCTAACAAGGAAACCCTAATTTGGATGCTTAGGCCCTAAGCAACCCATGGACTCCCTCCTTAGAGGCCCAGGATGATTTCTAATGGGTTTCCCCATAGAATTCGTCCACTCCTATAATATGGAGTCCATTAGCCCAATATTCAACTATCACACAATTGACAGTTCTAGTCCTTTAAGTTTAATTAATGTCTTTTAGCCACAAACTTAATTCTTGACTAATATTAATTAAACAATATAATTTCTCCTTTAATATATTATTCTCATAATATATTAATAAATCATAATTAATCCTTTCTCTCCATAATTCATCCTATCAAGTTGCTTTGGTGAAGGTAACCCAAAAGGACCATGCACCATCGGGTCAAGTACATACCAAAATAGTTATGGACTTAGACACTAAGCTAACAATTATGAGTATTTGGCTATCACTGATATAGATCTTTCCTTAGCCATCATCAAAACTTCAAAAGTGCCACAATCATTGTTGAAAGGAAAAATAAACATTGATGAATTCGAAGATGATGAGATCATTTATCAACCATTTGGGGTGGTATTCCAAGGAAAGAATAAAAAACAAAAGCTGACCAAGTTTTTGTTTCAAGTAACTGATATTCAGAGATACACAAACTCTCATTTCACGAGTCTTTTAATTCGAATCAATAACTACAAAAAGAATGATAATGAAGACAAATCAAAGATTAGAATGATCATTCTATGGTATATGGAGAGTCAAAATCTATATCTTTCATTATGTGTCTATGAGTATCAAAAGTTGAGTACTTTTGATATGTTATTTATTTACAAGGAAATTAGAGTTTCAATATGTTATGTATAGTCCTTGTATTTTTTGTACATCTAGTGTACCCTATAAATAGGGTAAGTAATTGGGTCTGAGTATAAGTTTGAACATTTACATCACATTTTGTACTCTTACTCTTTGTACTCATTCAGACGTGAAAGTAAGCCAAACAAATTATATTTAGATATGTGTGTTGTTTATTTCTTTTACATAATCAGTTGATTCGTTCATTGTTTCTAACACACTTAAAATTTAGTATGGGTTTGTCTCTATATTTTCTAAAGGTTTCATCATTGGGTATAATAAATCGAATAGCATTTTCGTAACACAATATATTTGTTCTAAGACGTGACATCAACTTCCTACAAATTTCTACCTTTAAATTTTCGATTGTCATGGTTAATGTATTAGTTCTTGTGTATTTTGAGTTGTCGATACGTATATGCAATCAACTTGTCCCTTTGCAACAATACGCGACATAGTCCTTGGCGTGATGTGTCGTAATATACTATGATGTCCTCGATCGTTTTGGAAGGAATAGGATTGGTTCACTACATAACATATGTTTCAACTTCTGAAATGCATTTTCCTTATTGCTTTCACAGTTGAAAAATGTTTCCTTTTGTGTTGATGTTGTAAGGATTTTGGGTATCTTGGAGAAGTTCTCAATGAATCTCCTGATAATAGCCATCAAGGCCTAAACGTTGAAGCAGTTCTTTTGGCATCTTTGGTTCTTTTTAACACTCGATTTTTTTAATTTGTGAAGGGTCGACGTGGATCCCTTATTTGTAGATCACAAGTCCTAGAAAGTGTACTTATGTAATATAAAACTCATACTTTGATAATTTAGCGTACAACATTTCTTTCTTAGTAGTTATATGATTATTCATGAGTATTGGCCGTATTCCTCCTTGTTTTATGAGTATATTGATAAGTCATTGATTCATACGATCATCATGGGTCCAAGTATGGTTAGCAACACTATGCATCAAATCTATCAAGGAGTAGCAGTTGGATCCACTTAACTGATAGATCAACTCATCGATTCTTGGGATCAGGTGATGACTCTTGATTGTGACTCCAATCATTTCCTGATAATTGATACATATTCGAAAGGATTTGTCCTTCTTCTTGAAAATCACAACCGGTTCTATCTAAAGTGAGAAGCTTGCTCTAATAAAGCTTTTGTCAAGAAGTTATAGTAATTGGATGAACAGTTCTCACATCTATGATGGAGCCAACTAATGTGGAATTTTTGGTACTTGTGTTATACCTAGGACTAAGTCGATTCGAAACTCAACTTTCTAGGTAAATTTTCAGGAATTAGATTAGGGTAGTTGCATAGTTAAGTTATATCTTTGATCTCCTTTTTCATTTTATCTATCACATGTACAAATAAAGCACAGTGATTTTTGTGTAGATACTTATGAGTCGTGATGTAAGAGATGGTTTTGAGATTTAGTCCAGTTACCACAGATGGTTACTAGATTTCCTCTTTCTTTAATCAAAGTTTCTTGACAGGCTAACTAGGTTGTTAGACTGATGGCCATCATTTTAGCATGGCCATAGATGCTGGATATGGGAGATGTAACCATCTATTGTAATTTTAGGATCAAACCTCTTACATAACCATCGATCTTTTTGCATTCCGAAGTTACAACACCCAAACAAAATTGTAGAAAGTTCAATAGATCTAGTGGAATAGGGTGTAATCCCCCCTATAGTGAGATTTCACAACTCTTGCTCTAGTTTCCGCATCTCATCTCTGGGGTAGTATTCTTCAATGAGCATCTGTTTCAAGTCATGCCAAGAGATTGAATATGTTGCATCAATGCCCATGACATTTGAATAGTTGTTCCACCATACAATGGATGTGTCCATCAAGGTGCGTGTGGTAAACTTAACACGACAGTTTACTGTACAAGAACTGAAATGGAATATTGATTCCATCTTTTCATTGTTGTTGAAGGACATGGATTTGTAGTTGAAGAATTCCTTGTAGGTGCATGCACTTGGAATGTAACTATTACTTCTATGGATAGTGCATCCAACTCTTCTTTGCTTAAAGGTGTTATTTCCTATTGACTTCATACTTTGACTAAGGTGTTATTCGTACAATGTGCAATCATTAACTTGATTGTAACTACGTCTAGTGATGGTTCCGGTGTTAGAAGATCACTCTTTGATCTATTATGATACATTTGTTTTGTCCTAAGAGTATGAGTCGTTTGAAAATATTGTTGTAAGTATAAGAGATAGTACTACAATGGGTTGAATTGATGTGGGTTTGTTCAAGAATGGCCATATGTTGAATATTATGTGTAAGTAATTCTACCATACCCAAGAGGACGGAAATCTTCAAGAAGAATGAATAAAAGGAAACTATCAAGTATTGGGCCAACTGAGAAATTTCATGAAGAAAATGTTGTAGGATATTTGACCACTACTTTGATGTTTCATCATATCACCAGATCCGGAGTTCTGACTAAGTTAAATCAAGATGTTTTGGAAACTAAACGAAATTTCTTACAACTTTAATGTTTTACATTTCTGTTGATTATGTCGTTTCGCCTTCAAAAGAGTCACGGAAGATTAAGGGCAAGTGTAGGCATACTACTTTTGAACTTATATGGATCATATCATAAAGAAATAGATTGATTGAATACCTAAGTTGTGCAAGTATGTGTATTTCTTAAGGAGTTTCTAGATATCTAATAGGAACATATATAGAGTATCATAGCTGAGTAATTAGTGTTTGATATGGGCATATTTAGTTATAAAATTCATGCATTATCTTAATAATTATGTTGATTTTATCTCATTTAATGAACAAAAGGTGCTTAATTAGTTTATATTTCATTTTTCAGCAACAATGACATGCTCGGGTGGAAAAGGAATCGGAATTGGCGATTGGACGCTTGGATCTTGGATTTTGACGAAAGAAGGACGTTGCTGGACAGCTTGACCCCTCGTCAATGTTTTGGCCATATCTCATGAACCGTAACTCCGATTGATGAGATTCGAAATGTTATGAAAAGTAGACACAATTTAGGACGACTTTCGTGTTTTGATAAAATGCTAATTCGAAACGTACTCGGCGAGTAGGGTCGATTACTCGCCGAGTTGGTCAGAAGTTTCGCGATTCTGGACGCGCTGACTTGCCGTACACAGGTTTTAAGTGATGTACTCGGCGAGTAGGTCACTGGACTCGCCGAGTAGCCCCTGCTTTGTGAAAATCTATATAAAGGGATTTTCAGATTGATACCCTAGCATATAGATGAACCCTTGGAGGCCAATTGTCGACTAAAGGTGCTGCTGGAGCGTGGGAAGCAAGGGAATCAACCCTACATTCAATTTTAAGGAGAATCAAGTCAAAATCAAGTTTAATCTTACCTAATCTCTTGTTTGAACTATGTTTTTACCAAT